GGCCGCCGCCGCCGGCGTGATCACGCCGTGTAGGAGGAGAGGCTGAGAGTATGTGTAGTAGAGTCCTGCTGGTCTCCTCTTGATAGTGTCATAAGTGTGGCTGGTGTGTGTCACAGAGCCTGACAGCACCCCGACAGCACCACCTGACAGCACCTGACAGCAACAGCCCAGCGTCTGACAGCAGCAGCAGCCTGACAGCTCTGACAGCTCCGACCCAGCGTCTGACAGCAACACCCGACAGCTCCGACAGCACCCGACAGCTACAGAGCACCTCGACTGTCAGACACGCACCCGACAGCACCCGACAGCACTCACAGCACCTGACAGCTGGTCTGACAGAGGCACCTGACAATGCCTGACAGCTGCCCGACAGCCCGACAGATCACCTGACAGCACCTGACAGCCTGACAGCCAGGGCTCATCTGGGCTCAGGCCTCAGCCCCGCGCCCCCCCGCGCCCACGTGTGCGCCCTGCTTCAGCCTGGTGCGCTCTGTGGCTCTCTCAGCCCGTAGGTATAGCCGTACACACACGCGCGCACGGCGGCGCGGTGTATACCCGTTGTGCTGTTGTACTTCTAAATAAATAAATAAATAAAACGGACACCTCTCTACTGTGAGATGGGTAAAAAGGAACAGGTCCCCGCCCTTGCGATCTTTGTGCAGGGTTCTTTGTGGGTGTGGTCGGCGACTAGCCGGGGTCGTCCTCCCGATGGGGGACTGGCACTAGCCGTCTTCCACATGGTCCCTCGGGTCCCTGCTGCTCCTAATCTCGTCGTACATCCTCCTGCTGATCTCCGCAAAGTCCTGCTCCCTCCCTCGTCTCGCCCTGCGCGTTTGCTCCGCCTCACCGTCTTCTGCCCTGCGTCGTCTGGCGACGGGTCCTCCATAGTCGGTCGAGGTCGCCGCCCTCCTCGGTGCCTCTTCCCAACGTTCCCTCGGCGGCCGATGCCGTCTTGCTCCGGCTCCCCAGTCCCCGGTTCTGCCCTGCTCTCGTCTGCGCTAGTTTCTGCTTCGTCATCACTGGCGCCTCTCCTCTTTTTTCTCCTCTTCTTGTATGCTTTGCACATAGCGTCGATTCCTTTTTTCGCGTGAGCACCAGCCTGAAGCCCGGCCCGTTGTACTTCTCTGACACACATCTCTCTCGATTTTCTCCGGATTCCGCGCGCATATTCGCCAAATTCCGCTCGCGCTCCGTGTGGCGCACCGGCCTTACCGACGCACCGTAACGGGCGGTGCGTTGTTGCTGTTGACACAAGCAACATTGATGATAGGATGTATGTACTGATTACTGCTGTTCAGCGCTCGCCCAACGTTAAAGCTCTCTCACGTCTACTGCAGACCACCTCGTGACGCTGACGGGCCAGATTGGAGACGGGCCAGCTGGCTTTCTCAAGCCGGCCGCCGCGCCGCGCGCGCCGCTGCGGCGAACCAGTGCTGCGCGAGGCGCGCGCTCACCTGTAGAACTCGAACTCCTGGTCGTTCTTCTGCGTCGACGCCTTGTACCCCTTCTCGAAGTCCTTTGGCATCACCACGTACCGGTTGGCGCGCACCGCCTGCATGCCCGCCTCCTGCACGATGCACGCGATCTCGGCGCCCGAGATCTTTTCGGGCCGCGACACATAGTCCTCGAGGTCGACATCGTCCGACAGATTCATCTTTGCCGTGGCGACCTGACAACAAGGAGTGAGAGCGAGGGGACGCTCACTCGCTATCTGTTTTGCGCGCGCGCGCGCGCGACGAACCTCGGCGCATCTTCAGCCGCCAGTGGAATCTGGAGCCGCCCCCGTTAGCAGCCTCGGCGCTTCATCCCCGGTTACTTTTGGGCCCGCAGCGTTCTCGGGCCGCATTCAAGGCTTCGCCCTGGAAAAATGAGAACCCTTTTTTGCGGCCGTTCCGGGGCATTGGGGAAACTCCGAATCTTTCTGGTACCCAGACGGGGCCAGGGCCCTTCCCCGGGCGAAATAGGGCCCCCCAGGGCTTCCAAT